GAGCTCAATTCCCCAGTGGGGAACTGCCCACCACTGTCCTATTGCTGCGAGATTCTCCCCACCAAGGAGTGAGGCCTAAAAGTCCCAGCCTAGTCCTGTCTCTCTTTTTTTTGTCCTTTTTGAGACCGGCCGCACCGCGCTCAGCCAGTGAGTGCTGTGAGCGCACTGGTCATCCCTATATAGGATCCAAGCCTGCGGCAGTAGCACTGCTGCGCTCCCAGCGCCGCACTCTCCCGAGTGCACCACCGGCCCTAGTCCTGTCTCTCTTTTTTTTGTCCTTTTTGAGACCGGCCGCACCGCGCTCAGCCAGTGAGTGCTGTGAGCGCACTGGTCATCCCTATATAGGATCCAAACCTGCGGCAGTAGCACTGCTGCGCTCCCAGCGCCGCACTCTCCCGAGTGCACCACCGGCCCTAGTCCTGTCTCTCTGATCCAAGGGCCCAAGCTGTTCCCTCCAATCCCCGTTCCCTGAATCGGGCACCAGGAATAGATCCCAAGCCTGGGGGATGGGTAGGGGAGCTGGTCCCTAGCCCTGACACCAGCGTCACACTCCAGGACCCCAGTCCCTGAAGGCCATATGTGGACTGGGAAGATACCACGTGCCCCATCACAAAGCTGGCCCCCTCTGGCTATACATGGGATGGAGAAACACTGTGTGCCCCCCATCCCAGGCCTGGCCTCCTGTCCATGAAAGGCTTTGGCCCAACAGCTGCTCTGGACTATGTCAAAATATGGAGCTTGTAAGTCCTGGAGAGGAGACGGCACCTCTGTCCTATGGAGACAGCAGATATAAATCCCTCAGCCGCCCTCCCTTGCACATCTTCTGGAGTCTGCCACCTCCCTGAGCATCTGACCTGGAGCTGGTAAGAACCTGAGCTCTGGGTCTCCTTTCCCTGCCTGGCCTGGCCTTTCGCCCGGACATGTTGAGTGGGTACCAGGCACCGAGCTCTGGGGCTGGCCAGAGGGAGGTTGCAGGGCAGAGGTATGCAGACAAGGAGCTGGCTGCTCTCTAGGAGCCACCCTATGGCTCTCACTGAGGGCCTTTCCATGTGCCTGTCGGTGAATGACTCCTTGGGGTGGGACCAGCAGCAGGAGACCTTGAGAGTCTCAGGAAGGGCCTAGTGCCCAAAGGGTTCAAGAAAGGGCCAGAGAGAGGCGTGCAGGTCTAACACGGATTTGCTGGGTGACCCTTTCCCTACCTGGGCCTTAGCTTCCCCATCTGCAAAATGGGGGCATTAATGCAAAGTCTAGGAGGAGAAAGTGCAGGGAGGGGCCGGTTTCACCAGAAGAAAAGGGCCTGGGAAACCTAAGCAGGCAGGGGTCAGGGCAGGGCAGGGACAGTGATGCAGCATCTGGGAGGGGTGTTAACTTCTTCTGGGGCACAGCTGTCACCAGGTGCCAGGCATTCAGGGGGCGGGGCAGGACGCAGCTGTTGGGGGTGGAGCGACATGGGGGGCTGTCGGCACAGGGGCAGGGTGGGGTGCTGCTCTCCCCATAAGCGCAGCTGTCCAGGCTGGGACGGCCCAGATGGTCCAGCAGCTGCTGGGTCTTGGGGGCTGGGGAATAGAAGGCACTCGCCTGGAGCCAGGCAGTGGTTAACCCCTTCTGGCCCACAGCCCATGGCCAGCAGTCATGTGTGATGAGGGCGAGATCACCCAACTCCTGTGGGACAATGGCTCTGGCTTGGTGAAAGCCAGCTTCCCAGGCGATCACACACTGAAAGCTGTTTCCCTCCCTCGTGGGCCAGCCCCCAGCCTCACCCCTACACTGCTGTGCCACGCATCCAGACCCCCCTGCCTTCTGAGTCCCCAGCATGGACTCACAGTTCCAATCCCTGGAGACCTCTCTCTGCCTCTGGACCCCTGACCTCTTCTGGGATCCTCCAGCCCTGAACAGGTCCCCACTACTTTTCATTGTTCCCTAACACACCATCTCACTGCCAGAACCCTCAGAAGGCCCTAGTGCTCTGCACCTGAGCACCCCATTCCTGGACCCCTATGCCCCCCTCCAGCCACATACACCCCACCTTTTCCCACCCCTTGTATCCAACATCCAGGACATGGGGCCCCACCAGGATGCTCCCCCCATGACTCCCAGGTCCAAAGCCCCTGTGCAACCCACCCACCAGGTATGGTGCTAGCCTCGACAGCGTCATCCACCAAGTGCCCAACCACAAAGGCTATGCACCACCCCACGCCATCCAGTGTCCGGATGTGGCAGGTGGAGAGCTCACCAACTACCTCATGAATGCCTTCCCTGAGTGCACTACTCTTTTGCTGCCAAGGGACAGGGCACAGGGAGGCAGAGGCCAGAGGGGACCCCAGTGTCCAGGCCACACCCCCCACCAACCCTCTCTCCTGAGCCACAGGTGCCCCACCCCCATTCTTCCTGGTCCCTGGAGCTAAAAGTCCATGGCAAAGAGGTGGACCCACCCCCCAGTGCAGTTGCAGCCAGCTCCAGTCCTGCTCCTGCACCTTGGCTCCCAGCTATGGCCTCCTGATCATTTCTCCAAGTTAAACAGACCCACCCCCTTAGGAGGCTCCAGGCCTTTCTTGGCCTGGTCCCATTCCTGAGGGCCTCGTCCCTGCAACTTTGGGTTGGCCTGCACTAAGCACCAGCTGTGTGGTGTCACCTCAGCCCCAGTAGGGCAGCCCTTCCCCTACCAGTCCATGGCAAATGTTTATCTTTGTATATACCCCATGGCAGTTTCCTAAAGCCCCAAACCAGGTTACAGGCTCACCTTGTCCACTCTAGCACAGTTAGAATCCAGAAATGTAGCTGGACTTCACAGAAACCAATCACATTCTGTCCAGGCGCACAGCCACATACGCTGGCACTGCAGACCAGATGCTGAAGATCACTGTCCCGGCCCCCAATACCATGAAGATCTAGGTGGGGAGGGGACCTGCTGGGCAGATGGCTCTTCCCCAGGAGGGAGGAACTCAGCCTCTCACAGCCCCTGTGGGTAACGGCAGCCCAGGAGTCAGGCAGACAGCTGTGTCCCTCCTTGGATTGCTCCTTTGTCTTCCTTTCCCTTTTTTTTTTTTTTTAACCACCACCCACAGCATTGAGATGTCTTGCTTTTCTCTCCCGAGCTTCAGGTTACTTAACTGTGAAATGCAGATAACACCTCCTACCCTGGCTTCAAATCTTGGCTCTGTCAATAACTACTGGGACTGTGGACAAGTTAACTTTCACTCTGGGATTCTCAATTTATCTTGAAATCAAAAGTAAAACCACTGCCTATGGAATAGGGTTGTTGTAAGGATTAAATGAGATTAACCCAAGTAAAGGATTCCACAGTGCCCAGCATGGTGAGCACTAAGTGTGCGCTAGGGCTTGCCAGACATGCGTCCTTCCCCCTCACAGACAGGTAACACTATCTGCAGCAGCTGCAGTTTTCTAGACTCTGCAGCAACACCTTCCCCTCTGCCCAGACCCTCATCCTCAGGTGGTATAGAACAGCCTCTGCTGCACTTGGGGAGGGAATATTCCAACAAAAACTAGAAAAACCTGCCCTTAGCTCGACCTGATTGCCTTCAAAGTCCGGCAGCAGTAACTACCTGGTGACTGGCGTTGCTCCCACTGGGGCAATGCAGTCCCTTTCAAAGCAGCCCAGGCTCTGGCTGAAAGGGACGAGCGCTCCTCTGGCAGTCATGCCCCTGCTCCGTCTGCTCACCGAAGGCGTGGCCTTTCAAAAGGACCACTCTAGGAGAGAAGCCTGCACAGAAGTGGAAGGGAGGGGCTGAGGCAGCAGCTCCTGGAGTCACTCCACATCTCACAGAGGCAGTCCCTGTGGAGGACCCGGAGGGGCCAGACCACTTGGGAAGGTGCTGGAGGAGGTGAGCACAGACCTCAGCTCTCCTGGCGCTCAGCTAGCAGTAAGGAAGGAAGGGCCCCACACCCTTCCAACTTTGGCCATTTACTCTGCAGCTCAGGGATGGCCACTCCAAGAAATTTCTCCCTGGTATTAAAACACAGCCGTCAAGGAACAAAAGAACTTGGGGGGCAGAATTTTGTGACATGAATAATTGGTTGTATGATTAGCTCTGCAAATTGCTCTCTCCCTTCCCAAGGGTTGTGAGACCTTTCCTTGGGCCTAAAAGAGAAGACGGCTGCACAAACCATCTTCTATGCCCTGTCTACAGGGCAGAGGCAAGACCTGCCACAGCCGGTACCCACTGGAGAGCCATGAACCCTGCTCCTCTTTCCCCTGATCATTGCTCTGCCAGAGCACAGACACTCCGTGCAGGCCCAAAGCTCCCCCTCCCCGCAGGTATAGATCACCCAGCAGGAGTACAGCAAAACTGGGCCCTCCACTGTCTGCAGGAAGCGCTGCTGGGCTCCAGCTCCCTGGCCCACTTCCTGTCTCTCCTCCCAGCTCCCCCAGAGCCAGGACTGGCAGGAGCTCTGCCTGGGAGACAAACCGCATAGCTCCATCTGTCATACTGGAGGGGTCTGAGCTTCCCCCCACTCATAACTCTCCTGCCCTGTCAGGCCTGACATGAGTTACCCTTCCTTTGAGCCTTTGTCTTCTGAAAGTGGAGGGAAGAGGGGAGGAGTCTTTGTAAGAGACAAAGACTATTCCGAGTAACCCAATAAAGTGAAAGGGAGGAAAGAAACACTCTCATCTATTCAACTTCCACATATGGGAACTGGAATTACATTTGGGTACAGATGTCAAATGTCACAATGCCTGGCTTGGGACTGTCTCCGGGATGCAAAGCAGACACCCGTCAGGAGAACAACTTTGACCTCTACCCAGAACTTCTGGGAAGTGGCACAAACACATGCATTTGGTCTCTGTTCCCACCTCAGGCAGCTTGCCCCAGGCACCCCAGGCTTTCTCAGGCTGAGGCTTTCTTCACAGGAAAGGGCCAGGGCCATCACAGCTACCTGCCTTCCAGGGTTTAGGCTCAATGCTGGGATGTAGTCTCAGGGTCCAGGGCTGCCTGTGAGCCATGCTGCCGGTGACACCCCATCATCAGGAAGCCGTCCCAGCAGCTGAACAAAGTGTCTTTTATTTGTGACATACAAATACAACTAATGCAAAAAGAGATCAGTTTTTCCCTTTGATTCCAGTGATAACAAGTTGCTAAAGAAAAAAAAAATACATGTATCGAGAAGTTTATCTTCCAAGTTTCCTCAAAAAAAAAACCCAGAAAGGGTTAAAAAGAACCATACACATGTCATATACACATTTGAAGTGTATACATAGAGTGTATACAACTTAAAAAAATCTTAAAACATGTTTTTACGTGCCCCAAACAAAAACCAAAAATACCTGGTAGAAAAGGCCTGCTATGTTTCTCAAAACCAAGACCTGGGGGAAGTGGAGAAAGACTGACGTTTGAGAAATTAATGGGCTCGACACCAAAAACAGAGTGACCTGCTGGTCTGAGACAGCGCCTCTCCCTCCAGCCCCAACCTCCTGAGGAGCCCTTTGGGAGTAGGACATGGAACCGAGTGGCCCATCTGCAGTGAGCTTGGTGCCAAGTGCGCACTGAAGGGAAAGAGACAACATACACTGAACTCACCTTATGTGGGATTTACACTGGGGGTTCCTTTTGGTCCCCTTGAGAGGTATCAGAAATCCATGATCTAAGACAATAAATATTTATCATTTTGTGTCCTTTGAGAGACAGAGAACAGAGGAAAAACTCTTCCTAAATATGCTCCTGTCTCAGAAGGAGTCTACCAATCCCCTCCCAGCAATTTCAACTCTCACGTGGAGTAAAATCCCCCAGGAGCCAGCAGGGTGGTGCACAGGCAGACTTACTCCAGTGTAAAGCTTCAAGGCCGCTCCAAGGTGCCCAGTCCCACTGGAGGCGGGGTCAAGAGCAGCGCAGAGAGCTCGGCAGAGGGGCCGGGCTGGTGAGGGAGGCTGCATGAGCACAGGCCCCTGCACGAGCAAGAATCGGTGAGACAGCAAGGGCCGCTCTGGGGAGCTCTGCCAGGACAGATTGCCCGAGTCAGGGCAGAGGGTGGGATGTGAGCAGACACTGAGGTCAGTGGGACAGACAGACCTGCATGAGAGCAACTTCACAAAGGCTAGAACCTTTATGACACTCCCTAAAGCAGAGCTCAGGGATGTCCAAGGGGAGGCATTAGGTGCTTTTTCCTGGATAAGGATTTGGTTTTTCTTCCTTGGAAGAGGAACAAGGCCCAGCGATCACGATGAGTATAAGCTCTGAGCCCGCATCCTCTCTGTCCTATGAGAGAAGAGGAAGGCCTTCTCTTCCCCCTACTCCAGCCTGCTGCCACAGGGCGACACCAGAGAGAGAAAAGCAACCATTTTGGCCACTGAGAGGCATTCCTGCTGCAGCCTGAGCTGTGGCCCGGCTGGGCCAGGGCAGTGGCACTAGTGCCTCACTGAGGCAGCAAAGGGCAAGGCTGGGGAGTGCAGGCAGAGGGGCCTGCTGCTGGCTGGGAGCTCTCTGGAGGGGTGAATGGTGGGAAAGAACGCCCCACCCTCAGAGAGCTTTCAGCACCAAGAGATGAGAGGAAACGACATTAACTATATCAGACATAAGGAGTCCTCCTGGGAGAAGACAGACAGCTCCCTGAGGCTATTCCCTCCTTGAGACTTAGAGCAGAGGTATCTGGGGTAGAGGTGACAGGCAGGGGAGAAAGTGGTGAGTGGGCAATGGAGAGAAACAGGTAGGACCTCTGACTTCCTTCTAGGAATGGAAAGCTCGAGTCACTGCCATGATATCAAGAGGTTAGGTTTAGAATGCAGCAAAGTCCAAAAGCCCAGAGAAGCCACTGTCCCCACAGTGAGCCCCACACAACACCTGTTCCTGGTTCTCTCAGCCCCTCTCACTGACAGCAATGGAGAGGGAGGCAGCCTTCTTCCCAGAGTCAGATGGTCCCGAGACCACTGCGAAGATCCACGAAAACACAGCCAGAGCTTTCCTCGCTTCCCTGTGTCTTGGCACAAAAGATCTTCCCACAGTCTCCATCAGAGCGTCCTGTCCATGAAAGCGCGAGTCTCTCTATGCCCAGATCTTACACTGAGTCCATTCCTCTTTGGGGACCCGCAGACCCCAGACCCAGGACTCGGACTTTCATAAAAGTGGATGTGAACACTCCATTTGTCCAAGTGTATGTGTGAAGGGGGCTGTCGGGAATCCAGCGGCAGAGGAGTGGGACAACTTCGGCTTGAGGGCCCGAGAGCCAAGTGAGGAAGCAGCCACTGTGTGAGGAGCTCCGTGCCGGGCCGCCGCCAGCTCCTCCCTCAGCAGCCTCTCTCTCCACTCTTCCCGGCACTCTGGTTTTCTTGGAGAAAGAACGGGGGTAGCTTGGGCCACTCTTCCCCAGGGTTCTGTGCTCTCAGGCACATGTAGGGATGAGGAGGCCACAGCTCTGAGTGCACTGGGCAAGCAGCATGAGACCGGGAGAGAGGACAGGCCTTAGGAGAGAGCATTCTGATTTGCAATTGGCTCTGGCAGTTCAGTGGCAGCAGCCACCACAGTGCCCGCCTGCATGGGAGTGCTGACTGTCCCCAAACTTGGTCCTCCGACTCAGGATCTCATAGGAGCAGTCCTCCCCACAACAACCAGACATGCTAGGGGAAGAGTCATCAATTTCAAATCTGCAAGGCAGGCAGAAGGAAAGGTTGGCTGCAGGCGCTGGATGCCTTCCTCCCTGGCCACACTGATGAGACCCCAGGATGAGGGTGCAGGAGGGGTCAGGGGACCAAGTCAGAGGGTGCTGCCACATTATCCCACCAATCCTGAACCCCCAAGGACCACTGGACCGTGAGCTCAGGCATCAGGATGAGTGGGGGCCATGACCAGGAAATCGGCACTGGGGCAGGTACCTCCTACCACCCAGAAAGACCCACACCAGGTCCCAGCTCCTTACTGCAGTGCTTCTCTGAAGAACTGGTAGGCACCATGATTGTGTTTAAATACCGTTAACATAACCTTCTTCATCTGTGTGCTGGGGAAGAAAGCAAAGCGAGCACCTTTTAGAAAGAGAAACAGAGACTGAGGCTGCACTGCTTCGCCCTGCTGTCTCTGCCTGCTACCGCCCACATGCCCCACAAAAGCATTCCGAGTCCTGCCTCTGGCTTCCAGGGGCCTTGGCCCTGCAGCACCAGTGCCTCCTCCTTCACAGGCTGATCAGACTACAGGGCCTCAGGCCCCCACCCATCTGGCTTCTTCTAGAGCACAGATCTTTCCCACTTCCTCTCTACAGCCCCATTACTTAGGCACAGAACTTAGCACAGATCAGGCACTCAAAAGATGCTCGCTGTGCTGTGCTAAATGTACAAAATCTGGAGTCACAGCAAGGCAGGGAGCATCTCAGTAAGAGGGTTCTGGATAACTTTCTCCCCAAACATTCCTATGAGCTTGTCCTCCAAGGAGGCTCAAAGAACAGTGGGTGCCTTCGAGGCAGCCCCTCCCAACTGAGTGACACATGGGGCCTCCTAGAAAGGTGGCCCTTACCTATTGGCCATGAGCTGCAGGATCTGTATGAGGAACTTCCCCAGGCCTTTCCGCCGCACCTTGCTTTCCAACTGCACTTCGTAGCTGGGTAAAAAAAGCAGAGGGGGCGTGTGCAGGGTGGGACGTGAAGAGGGTGCAAGGCTTGCTGGAGGAGACCCGGACATGCCCAGTGGGCTCTGCCACCCAGCTGGTGTGCCCAGAGGACCACTGCCCCAAGGGTGACTCCTACCAGTACAGGACTTCATCTCCGCACTCCACATCAAACCGGAAGTGAGAAAAGGCAACAGGGATAGAGCTGTTTTCCCAAGCAATGAGGTACCAGGCTCGGTCATCTGTCATTTCCTCCCGTTTTTCTCGGTCCTTCCAGCCCCACTCACTTTGCTCATACCTGGGGAATGTGGGAGCAGTGAGAACAGAGACGTCTGGAGAGGAAAGCGGCTGGGGAACAAGGCTCCCCTCCAGTCGGGGCACGCTTACATGGTCTGCATATTGGTCTTGGTCAGGTCGAAGGCCCAGTCCACTGTGGCTGGCTCCAGTCCAGACACTCGCTTACACTCAATGGAGACATTCAACCTGAGAAGAGGATAAAGAAGCGTCAGGAGCCGGATATGGGGCCAGCGCTTCTACCAAGGCACGTCTGTTCCTCCCAGAAAGTCGATCAGGGAGGCATACGTCGTCCCAGGGACTCTACAGGGAAAAGCCTGCACCTTCCCAAACATGACTAGAGAAGATGCATGTGCAGGAACTGAGCCTTTCAGGCCAAGATTAACAACTGTCATCACCCGGCCCACCACCCTAACCACAAGGCCCGTTTCCTGTCTCCTCTGCGCTGTCCTTTTCAGACTTGGCACATTGTAAACTACTTCTTCCTCTCTGCTGCCTCTTTGCTCCTTTCCTACCCTTTCGGTTTCTCTGTTCTTTATTCCTTAGTTCCTGCCCTTAGGCATTTTTCCTGCTGCTTTAATTTCTGAAATGACTCTTCACTGGGCCCCTGAGACCTCTTCTCTCTCATCTACCAATCTCACCTTCAGAACCTGCTGGGTGACCTCAGATCCTTCAAGAAGACTGTGGACCTGCCCCCCCAGAAGTCCAACCTGCCTCTTACTCTGACGACACAGTAGGTATTGTTGGCTGATCTAACAAGGTAGAGCAGAGTCCAACCCAACGCTATTTTCCTAAATTAACAAATGTTATGGGCATTAAGGTATCTGTTTCTAAATGAAATGTAAGTAAAATACAGTTAAACTCCTTGGCCAATCAGTGAAATCACATTCTTTAGGTGGTACCACACTCTAAAAGAACTGACATCTGCAAAGTCTAGGCCTTTACAGAGCTCCCACATTGCTATCTTTCAGTGGCCTTGACACAACCCTCAGAGGATATTCCCACTGGAATCCACTGCCACCTCTGCTGACTGGCACACCATGTGAGCTGTAAATATGCTCAGCCTTATAAATTCAGAACTCCCTGGGCCGGCCCGTGGCTCACTCAGGAGAGTGTGGTGCTGATAACGCCAAGGCCACGGGTTCGGATCCCATATAGGGATGGCTGGTTAGCTCACTGGGTGAGCGTGGTGCTGACAACACCAAGTCAAGGGTTAAGATCCCCTTACCGGTCATCTTTTTAAAAATAAATAAATAAATTCAGAACTCCCTGCCCCTGGAGAGTGTTCCTTTTTTTACAAGTACCAACCACGTAGCAGTCAGAATGGCTCAAACACAGCACTGCATCTGTTTTAGCAATAAACTGTCCAAAGGCTGGTCTGCATATGTAAATTCTCCATTAATCTGAGTTCTTTAAGTACAGGAGGAGCAGGATCACAGCTACAAGAATCACACAAAATTTGAGGTACCAAAGAAGCCCAAAGTCAGATGGCAATGCCTGCTTCAGAGCCGTCCCTCATTTCTGGAAGTCAGCAGGAATAGAGAATAAGGAAACACTAAGAGATATCACAGTAAGGGATCTCTACACTATGTTAACAGACTTCTCAGAAGTTTTTTTTGTTTGTTTGTTTGTTTTTGGCAGCTGTCTGGTGTGGGGATGGAGAATCCGAATCCTTGACCTTGGTGTTATCAGCACCATATTCTCCTAAAAGTTGAATGACAAAGCTACTAGGAGAAGACTGACGTGTCTGATCAGAGACAGGAAGAAGTAAGAATAAACTAATGCGATTCTATGAAATTCAGACACAGCTATGAAAGGCAAAGGGAGCATTACCTGCTTCATAAGCCACATATTTCATGTGTCTATCTTGTTCATTAAAACACTCATGCCAGCTGCTACTTACTGAGCTGGATATATTCTGTTTCCTCCTTAAAACAATCTTGCAAGTTTGGCATTATCGCCATATTTAACAAGTAAGAAAATGAGGCTTGAGGAGCACAAGCAACTTGTCCAAGTACAGTCAACAAGAGGGAGGCCTGGCTATTCATTCAACCCATAACCCAGGCAAACAGTAACGCCTGTTCGTCTCTAAAGTGAGACGTTACATTATAGAAACATGACTCATCTAACATCATCTCAGGTAAAACAGATTATGCTTCCTATTTCATAAACCAAAAGGACGAAAAAAGGGGAGGGGGCCTTTAATCCAGATCCTACAGTAAACTGGATTGTAGTAATAATAGCTGACACTTAGCTTTTCGTATGCTCCAGGATCTAATGCTTTACAGCTAATCCTCCTGACAACTCCATGAGGAAAGTGCTATTACATACCCATTTCTGATTAGAAAATTGAGGCATAGAGAGGAGTTAAGTGATTTGTTCAAGGTCAAATAGCTAGTAAGTGGCTTTTAACAATTATACTATATATTCCGGGAAAGAGTACTGGGAATTAAAAGCGCCCCTCAGCTGTTGGGGGAAACTCCATAAACTCAGAAACTCATTCCACTTCTTTGAGCCTCAGTTTCCTATGTATGAAATGAGGGCATCAGCCTAGACAATTTTCCAAGTTTGTTTCAGGTCTATGACTCTTTGTACAGAGACAACAAGTCTTAAAAAGACACCAGTCTGTGAGATTAAGCACAATCTTTGCTCATCTACGGATTCCTTCTTCACCCTAACTGGAAACGGTATATCAACAGAGGGCACTAGTCACAGTCTCTGCTTTTCCAAAACGAAAAAGAATGAGAAAATTTCGGTCTGAGGATGCCTACGACGGAAAGGTGAGTTCCTGAAGACACTCAAGGAAACAATACTCAGGAATGCTAAATACAACTCACCCGTTCCGGTCATACTTCTTAAACACTGGGAAAGCCTCAAGAGGGTCTCCAAGCTGTGGAGAGAAAGAGAAGAGGAGTCGCACGGGCCCGCATGGCAGAGGTACAGCCCCGCCCCAGGAGCCTTGCCACCCAAGAGTGTGATGCTGCAGGGCCCGTGTGGGGAGGCGTGCTCCCAGCACCGGGGCAGCTTCATGGAGCCCTCCATCTGCCTCAGCTCTGAAGTCACACGTATGAGGAAGGCTTTGGAGACGAGGCCCAAGAAAGTTCAATTTAACTTCATCTGACAGAGTAAGAGGAAACTTTAGTGGCCTATGGGCACAGTACCCAAACACAGTGCAGCTAACCCAAAGAAAAGAGGCCACAACTAACCTCATCTGGTCAAAACCCCAACGGAAAATCATGTCCCTGAGCCCCATCCTTGTAAATGTGGAATGTTTACTATTGAGTGCGCTAAAAGAATGACAAAAACTGGGATATGAAATAGGGGCAGGAAGGATGACCAGGGTTCCCCAGGTTCAGTTTGAAAGCCATGGCTACCTCGCTGCTCCCATTCAGGCCCATCTGGTGCTCAGATTCACAGCGACTCCTCCCCTGACTGTGGCCCCTTAAGGACCTCAGCCCCCAGCACGACCTTCAGTACCTCAAGGGCAATCAACAATTGAAGGAATAAATGAGAAAATTGTATACCATGTTTATCAGGGAGGTTTCCTCTCCAAAATTCAAATCCCTAACAAGAGTTTCTCCAGACCCTCAGAGACCCACAGAGGAGCAACCACTTCTGCTCGTATCCACATTTCCTGAACACCTGGGGCAACTGCTGGCACCTCCTCCCAACTTTCACCAGCTGTCCTGAGCCGCTAAGCTCATTGCCCTGGGCCACAAGTAGTATCACAATTCTGCCACCGGGTGGCGCCAAAAGAAGTCAAATGAAAACCCAAGCTGAGGTGCAGGAGCCAGGACTGGAAAGCAGGGGAGAGTCACCCTGTTGGCGGCGTCCACTTTGGCACAGACAGCATCCATGGCTGCTCGCTCCTCCAACCGCTTCTGCTTCTTCTCCTTTGCTTTGCTCGACTTTCTCTGCAACAGGCAAAAGCAACGTTGGCTGGATAGGCTGTGACCAAACAAAGACCTGACTTGACCTTTGAGGAACCGAAGGGTCCCGGCATCCACGGGCCTGGTCCAGTGGCAAGAAACTTCCCACCCTGGCTGCCACACACTTGATGGGTGAGAAAGACCCAAGCAGGTAACATTTAAGTAGGTTTTCTAGTGCTGAGCCCTTAGGAGCACCCCTAGACTTCTTAGCTTCCCTTTAGGAAGAGCATTGACCCTCCTGTCCCTGGGTCACTAGGAAGCCCCAGTGAGAGCTGACAATGCCTGCAGCAGAGCCAGCCCCCAGCAGGTGCCTAGCGAAAACTCACTCATCCGCTCGTTCCTAAGGAGAAAGCATCCAATTTTAGACACATTTAGGGCAGCTTTCACGAGGAGATATTATCTGAGGTAGCTGCTGATGGGTGTTCCTAAGTGTAAGTTTATTTAAAGCTTTTTGGTGTCTTCTGGTTTCAGGAAACAAAGATCTGGCTGGGGGCAGCTGCTGTGGGAGCTGGATGCCATTTCTCAGCCAGGGCCAGGGTGGTCTGGTTTAAGGATACGGAGCCATTGCCCAGAAGTCCTGCTTAGCCAAGGCCAATGAGTGGTAGGCACACCGCACACCTAGTGTCAAGGGCAGAATGAAGGGCCCCAAGGAGTTCACCTCAGGTCAACAAGACCAAATTGCGGGCACACAGGCAGCGGGGTGGTGCAAAGAGAGGCTTTCGTCACACAGAGAGGCAAAGGGCAAATGGCCCAAAACTGCATCTAGATCAGATCTGTGTTGAGGCTAATGTGGGGTTCTCTCTCAGGCCTAAATCAACCCTCTTCCCCTGTCGTAAAAAAATGGGAAACAAGGAAAAGAGCCAGGCTCTGGAGTCTGACAGACCTCACCTAAAGAGTCTTTCTTCACTCCCTGCAGGTCCTGGGACAAGACACAGCCCTTCTCTGAGCCTCCTTCCTTCCTCTGCTGAGTGGGGCTCTTCACACCTCCTCGGAGGTGCTAACCCGTGCGGGTTAGTAGGGCCTCTGCTCAGTAAATGACAGTTCTCATTCTCGCTCCCACCAGATGGCACAGGCATGCAGAGGTGCCCGCCCAGCCTGCCTGAGTCCCCAGAAGGAACCCCAAAGGCACTGCTTTTCATCAACAGCAAAGCCTCTTTTGATCGCACCCACCCCTCTTTTCCCTGAGCTCAGTGGAGAAAGGTTTGACAGCCCCAATTACATCCTAGTCCTGACACTCACTGGCCCCAGGAAAGGGCACTTGGAGCGATTAACATTCTACATGAGTTGAAAAACCAGTAGATTGGAGAGTTTCTCAGTATAAATTCTGCTCTCCATTTTCCAAGGAACTACACTTCAAACACTCCTATTTCAAGCAATCAGGAGGCAAAAGAGTTCAGATCCCAGAACTCACAGGCACTTATAGGCACAAACTCTACCAACACCAGCTATTAAATATCTCCCGGCTGAGCACTGTGCTGGAAGCCTGGCTGGATCCCATTTCTTACCTCCTAGAGGAAGGAACAAACAAAAAAGCGTTCATAAGGCTGGGCTCTGGGGACAGAACCACCTCCTCACTACCACAGATAGGTTTTAGAGCATCACCTTTTTCTCTGGGAATTTAGGTTTCAACAACCTTGAGAAACAGCTCGCATAGTTCTTTCACATACATTATGTGGCTCAGTTCACAGGGCAGAAACCACCTCCCCTTACTCATGAGGAAACTAAGGCTCAAAGGGATGACATGACTCGCTCAGATTTCCCCAGACAGTAAGTGGCAGAGGGAAGACTCAGTCCCAGGGGCTGGGCCGCAGATCCAGTGTTTGTCCCACCAGGCTTGCTGTCTCCCACTGGGACAGCCAACATACAGGGAAGCAGACTCCTGCTCAGCCATCAAAGAGCTTCTCCTGCCCTGCCAAGATAAGGCCTGGGGCCTCAGAAGCCACAGACACCCACTCAGCAACTCACTTCTCATTTCCTGTCTTGCCTGGAGATGGCTCCTCAACACAGTGCCACCCCAGGCCCCACCCTCTGTACTGAGGCAGAGGTAAGGAAAAGGGAAATCTCAGATGGAAGGGCTCAGGGCTACAGGCTGGGCCAGAAAAGTGTGAGCTTTGACATCAATCACACTGGGCCAGTGCTCTTCCTGCCACCTCCAGCAAGACTTGTGAAAGCAACTCCATCTCCAGAAAGATGGGGACGCAAATGCTGGTCTTTCGGAAGAGCTGTAAGTCCAGGTCAGAAGCCAGCACACCTTCACAGTAGATGCACACTCCCTTCCCCCACCCTGCATGCTCGCTCACTGAAGGATCAAAGGTGCTCGAAAAGCAAGTGTGACTCCTGGGACCCAGAAAGTACTGAAACCTGGGTTCCCTACATAGCAGCTCATTTCTAAGCACAGCAATTAAGTAATTCCTAAGCACAAGCAGCAGGAGGGCCAGCCTGGGCCTCCAGATTTATGGGCTCATTCATGCAGGGGAACCAGCAAGCCAGGCAATCCTCAGAGTGAGGCTTGGGACTGCCATGGCCCGAGACTGAGATAATGAAAGAGCCCCTTAAGCGCTTCGCTGCCTGCACACGGGGTATGAGGCAGGTTGCAGCAGGCTGGGTCAGACAGGCAGGGGCTCTCCCTCAAACCTAACACATACAACGAAAAGTGGTCTCCTACTGTTCCAATTAGCTTTGCCCCTGCTTGTGGAGGTAAGGCTGTCCTGCAGGGACGCAGGAAAATTCTCCTAATTAAAAAGGGAAATAAGCACAGTGAACAGTAAAGCTCATTGTGGTTAAGTGTCTTTCCCAAGGGAGTTTCATATAATAAAAAGAGTGTGGGATTTTGAGTCAAGAGACCTGGTTTTGATTCTCAGCCCCTCCACTTAACAGCTGTGTGACTTTAGGCAAGTTATGTTATCTTTTTTTTTTTTTTTAAGTTACTTAAACTCTTTAGGGCAAGTCACTCAATTTCTCCGAACCTCAGTTTCCTCATCCATATAATGGGGCTAACAATGCCTATACCAACAGTCATGGGACTGCTGTGAGGATAAAATGATGCAATGTACTGGATATGAAAATTCTTTACATTAACAACTTCTGTGTACAAGGACCCACAGGTGTCAGTCACTCTGCCAGTGCTTTAATAAAGATGATCTATTTAACCTTTTTTTTTTTTTTTTAAAGATGACCGGTAAGGGGATCTTAACCCTTGACTTGGTGTTGTCAGCACCACGCTCAGGTAGTGAGCGAACCGGCCATCCGTATACAGGATCCGAACCCGTGGCCTTGGTGTTATCAGCACCGCACTCTACCGAGTGAGCCACAGGCCGGCCCTTATTTAACCTTTTTATTGGTGGCTGGCTGTTAATATATTTTAATCTTTACAACTCAGCAAGGTATGTGTGCCCACTTCTTTGATGAGAAATCTGGGGCACAGAAAGGTTAAATAACTTTCAGGGTCACAGACAGTGCATTCTCAAATAGGTCTTTCTACCCCCCACCCCGACTCTACACTCCATGAGGCAGAGGCTGTATCTGCTTCGTTTGCCAGTGTACCTCCAGCGCTCAATGAACAGCTGGTACTCGGTTCATATCTGTTGAAGGAATCATCCACAAATCGAATCCACTTTTTTTTTTTTTTCCTTTTTTTTTGTCTTTCTTACTGACCGGTAACAGGATCGCAACCCTCGGTGTTGCGCCCACACCGCGCTCAGCCAGTGAGCGGGAACCGGTCTCCACATGGGATCCGAACCCTCGGCAGGAGCGCCGCCGCGCTCCCAAGCGGCGCACTCTCCAGTGCGCCACCGGGCCGGCCCCTCGAATCCACTTTTGAATCTTAAAGTCTGTGCTCCTTCCATTACATCACAATTACATTTATATGCCACTTGTTATAAAGTGCTATACAAATGTTGTTTTCACTTGCAGCTGTGAAATTCCTCCCCTTACTTTTCCTATTTGGGTAGTAACTCCACAGGCAGCGCTATGACTGCTAGGGGTCACAAAGAGAAATAAGAAATACCCAGATGGGGACAGGAGGCAACTTCCAGAAAAAGTTTGGTACCTCTTAGATTTTCAGTCAACGGCTCCATCTCAAATAGTATCCAAGATCCAAAAAGATCCTCTGTTTTTATTGAAGTGAGACGTATCTAAATTCTTATTCCTAGAACAAGAATTGTGTGGCAGCTCGGGTGAGAGAACGTTTTTTGTTTGTTTGTTTTTGTTTTTTATAGGGATAACCGGTAAGGGGATCTTAACCCTTGACTTGGTGTTGTCAGCACCACGCTCAGCCAGTGAGCGAACCGGCCATCCCTATGTGTTTTTTATAGGGATAACCGGTAAGGGGATCTTAACCCTTGACTTGGTGTTGTCAGCACCACGCTCAGCCAGTGAGCGAACCGGCCATCCCTATGTGGGATCCGAACCCGTGGCCTTGGTGTTATCAGCACCACACTCTCCCGAGTGAGCCACGGGCCGGCCCTCGGGTGAGAGAACTTTGAAGAGAAGGTGCTCTATGCCACTCTCTTAGTCTGAGGTCAGGCTGTCGAATGCAGCAGGATCCTCTGCGGAAGGTGACCACTACAAATGGTGACTTCCTGACACCAAGGTGGGGCATCCATAGCCCGCACTGATGAAGAATGAGAGTAATGAGAGGGTTCCAGCTCTGTTTCAGGGAGGAAAATTCAAGTCTCTCTGTTACTGTGAGATTTAGGCCAGAAGAGACCTTATAGGGACTGTCCTGAGAAACACATCTGTAAAGCATGAGTAATAAGATTGGGGCCCTAAAGGAAGATATCTCAGTATCTCTGGGGCCTGCTATTTCAACTCAACCAACAAGGAAGTGTTGACCCAGAATGGCATGTTACGCTTCTTGTTTTCTGCTCAGTCAGTAGTGACTGATTCTGGGTAGACAGTTACTGAGCGATAAAGGGGACACAGGTTTCATTAAGTTTCAACAACAGCTGGGGTCTAAAACCTTTCACCAAAATCTAGGT